GGACGATCGTTCATCCTTTATGGACAGCCGTCCATTAATTTTGGATGAGCATCCGCAAATAAGGGATGCCTGTCCTTAACCAAAATATGGAAAAAAAAAACTTTGGGGACGCCCGTCCACAAATTGTGGACGGCCGTCCCTTACATTTGGACAGGAGTCCATAAGGAATGGACGCCCGCCCATTATTTTGGTTTTACAAAACAAAAACTTCAACGCGCCAATTCCTTTACTTTCTCTCTGTAAATTCTTCCTTCTTCTTCAACTATCACCAACTTCAACGCCTCCGCCACCGACTTCAACTATTCTTGAGTCTAATCAGATTTTCTATGATATTGTTTAAGGTTAAGGGAAATGAAAATCAACATGATAATGTTTTGAAGCTTTTGCAAGATATCTTTGAGCTGTAATAAATGATCTGATGATAAATGGTTTCAAGTTTGCTACTTTCAATCACTTTTCCCATTTTAACATCATTTAGAGGGTTCGCTTTACTAAATTTTGTTTTCAATGTGCACAAAGTATTCGATTTGTTGAATGCACCCCAGCAGGTTAAGCTGGATTTTGGCTTTCGTTTTGAAGAAATTGAACCTGAGTTATTTGCTGACAAGAGTTCTGTCTATTTTCATTTTCCAGACTCTGGCCCTTTGAATGAACAAATGTTGTTCTTCTTTCATTTGTGTTTTTCCTTTTCTCTCGTTGCCATTATTTTAGGTGGCTTGTTCACCATACCTTAGTGAGAAAAAATCAACCCTGCTTTGATTTGTTAACCCATCTCAGATTCGACTTCCGTGTATATCTGTTTCTTGAGTTCAGGTTGAAGTTGGTGATAGTTGAAGAAGAAGGAAGAATTTACAGAGAGAAAGCAAAGGAATTGGCGCGTTGAAGTTTTTCTTTTGTTTTGTAAAACCAAAATAATGGACGGGCGTCCATTCCTTACGAACACCTGTCCAAATGTAAGGGACAGCCGTCCACAATTTGTGGACGGGCGTCCCCAAAGTTATTTTTTTTTTTTTTTTTTTTCATATTTTGATTAAGGACAGGCGTCCCTTATTTGCGGGCATCCGTCCAAAATTAATGGACGGCTATCCCTAAATGTTTTTTAATTTTTATAAAAAAAAATATATTCTATTTTACTTATGGACGGCGTCCTTAAATGGGGATGCCCGTCCGTAGTAAATGGACCCCCATCCATATTAGGACGGGAGTCCATATAAGTGAACGGTCGTCCATATTTGATGACGGCCGTTCACCAGAAAAATATTAATAACGCGTCTGAATTGCTGGTGCTGGTGACTGAGGGGACACGTAGGCCGGTACACATTTTCGGTGCAAAAATGCCGGTGTCCGTAGCTTTATTGTTTTGCGATTTGGGTCGATTTTGGGATTTGAATGGGGAAGGTTGCTGAGTTTTTGGAGGAGGCTGCTGGTTTTTGCGATTAGAATGCAGTAGGCTACTGTTTGTTTTATTGTGAGGGAGTTGGATTATGAGAAGGAGAAGAAGCAGCTACTAGTTTCAGATAAGACTGATTGTTTTATTTTGATTTATAATTTCAAAGTGACGTCAGCACCTGTCTAACCCACTGGTTAGACCGTTCAACCGCCCAACCCAGGACCTGGTCCCTTGTCGGGTTTTACCCCGGTTGGGTATTAAAACATTGTCTGCAACTTGATTCCTTCTTTGCCCCTTTTAGCTTGTCGTTTATACTACTTGGTGATTGCAGGTCCATCAATAAGTTATAAGCACAATATTGTTCTTTTAAATTTGCATTTTTACATGATTTTAGGTGTAGGTTTTTCCTTGTTATTATGTCTTTAGAGTTAGGACTAAACACACTCCAATATGAGCCTAATACCTCGTATACCTTAAAAAATCATGCATTTTGATTTAAACATTGAATAAACTTGTAACTTTATTTAAGATAATGACATAAAATTTTAAAATACTTAAGTTAAATATTTAAAATAAATAATTTATTTAAAAAATTACAATTTACACTAACACAACATATTTTTGAATAATATCATTAGAAGAGAAAGTAACATTATTTAATAAAAAAATGTGGAACAGGAATTTTAATTAGACTAGAATACCAACTTTCAGATGATCAAGAAAAACTAGTGATAAGTAGAATTATAAAGCATTTTTTTAATAATCTTTAGTTAAAAGTATATGCAAGTAAAACTCAAATAACATCACCATTCAAAGAAACTAAAAGATGTGATAACGTTGTAGACCCTGGACCCCCTTTTCACCTTGTTGACTGAGTATCATGAAGCTGATGAAGTGAAGCAGTAGAGTTTCAAAACTTGAAGGAGACTAATTCTAATAACACGAGACCAGCCCTTTAAACTCAACTACTGGATGCTCACATATATTTGCCAGAAAATGTTGAAAGAGGAGAAGAATACTGTAGCTACATCGAGTACAAAGATCCCAGTAATCATTTTTTACTTTATTTTACAACTAAGCATTTAAAGTTGCTTAAACAGAAACTTAAAACTGACATTAATCAAAATAAGCTAAGCTTACTAAAATCCTTACAGCTGCTGCTGGGCTTGATCAAGCTTTACTTATAAGCTCAACACTTTTCATCCCTTCAAATACATCCACTATTCTTAGGATTCAGTGGAACCAACTGAAAAAATCAAAAGAAATTTCAATCAACAGAAGCAATAGCCATAGTCTATACGTTTTGAGCTTTTAAGATATGTGAGTTACGTTGGGGAATTTCCACAAAAAGTTGTGATACTCTGCTCATCTTAAATTAAAACCTACAACAATACAACAAAAGGGAGAAACAAATACAGAAATATTACCTGGTTAGCAATCATGACCATGTTTCAAGTTTCTGTGTTAATTTCTTCTCTCTCTGGTTGATACTTTGCTCTCATTTTCTATATATAGCGGAAAACTTTCTTGTATGTTTCGATAACAAGCAACTGATCTCGATGGAAGGCTCTGAAGGGAACTCTGCCATTTCATCTTCCTTGCCCATTGTCAATGCCTGCGGAACCAATTAATTGAAGCATATGAAATGAGAATGTAATAATAAGCTTTTTGTGACATTATAGAAAACAACAAGTGGAAGTGAAAAAATGAATAAATAAATAAAGAAAGAAATTAAATTTTTGACCCAACTCCCTTTCTAAGAAGAATTCAAGAAATTTTTGACAAAAATCTTTAATAATGATTGTTACAACAACATAAGGATTTGAAAAGAAGTACATTTGCTTTGGCATGCACAGAATGATCTTGATCCAAGAAAAATCTTGAACTTATCTTGGGACACCATTTAATGATCAATAAACGATTCAAAGATGGAAATATGAAGTGATAAAGGCAGAACTTGGTGAGACTTGGTAATTGGTGGAGTAACAACTGTTCAACTTGAGGCAGCACGAATTCTATGTGATCCACGACATCATCGACATCTTTATCTCTGAATACTTCTTCCAATTCAGAGTTCTCACGTAAACAAAGATGTTCCAGTTTTTGAAGACCTGGAGCTACCGAGATAGCAAACAAACGTCTTATTTTAGGGCATCTTACAACAACAATTCGCAAGAGATTTTGGAAGAATAGAATTTGGTTCTCTTCATCTTCTTCAACAATGATTTCCTCCAATTCCCCACAATCACAGATGCTCAGAAATTGCAACTGCCACAGATTTTTAGCAAGAGAAGGTGAGAAGATATTTTTCAGGCTATTGCACTGGTATAGAAATAAAGTTTTAAGGTTCTCCATGCTTGAAACAAGCGTAGGACTCTTACATAAACCTTCTAATTCTTGCAAATATCTCAACTCCAATGTTTTCAAATTGGGAAGTGATAATATTTGTTGTTCTCCGTCTTCCAACTGAAATAACACTTTTACTCCATAATTATTGATACCTAAATCTTTCAAATTTTTGAAGAAGCCATCTTTCAGCCCAGAGAGAACTGTGTCGTACAACTGATTCCAACTGCCAATCCTTAAGACTTTGCAAATTCTGAAGAAAACAAATCACATTAATAAGACAATGAAGGGAATCTTTTATTTTACCATTAAAAGTAATGGAAAATAATAATAATAATAAAGTTATCCTAGATTTATTAAAGGGTTAAGTAAAGCGTTCTGGTATTGGCTATCGGACTTAAAACAGGACAAAAGTTCTAAGTAATCTATTAGCTTTAATTCATTGATTCACAAAATAAAATTAAATAAAGTAAAAATAGATTATTGAATATTATTAGCTCAAAAAATCTCTTAATTATTAAATTAAGAATCGCCCGTGGTATTACCAAATATGCAAGCCAATGTAAAAAAGGCATTCTAGGTAATAATTAAACAACTATGATGTCTTTTTTGTTTATTGATTTTCAAGTTTATACAATATCTACTGTAAGACATTCATTTTAAAGTAAATAATCTGGTCTTAAAATAATTTTATTTAATTAAAAAAAATGTCTATACTAATATTTCTGATAAAGAAACAACTATAAATCAGAGCAAAAAGTTCAAAAAACAAAGGCAAAGGCTTCAAGAAAATCTTGATAAACAATTAAAAAAAGATATATACCTTTTGTAGATCTCGTACTTTAGATACAACTTCAGTAACGAAAGACATACTCAAATTCGAGCAATTGTCTATTGTGAAATCTTCCAAAGCTGGCCAACTTGAATGAAAATTTTTTGGGCAAAAACTAATGATGCTTGCAAGTCCATCCAGTCTTAGTACTTTCAACTTAGGGAGCTTGATGAGTGCAGTTTCCTTTCCATCTCCGGCAACTACATTTTCTTCACTTCCATTATCCAAATAAAAGACTTCCTTTAACTGAGGGTTTTTTTTTTTTTTAATTTTTTTATTTTTTTTATTATTTTTTTTAAATTTTTTTGTAAAAATATATTCCAATCTCTCACATGAATTTATCTTGATAGATTCTAGTTTTGACAAGAAAGGAGTTTGGATTTGAAGATCATGTTTTGATGATATTTCTTCTCCCTTGTCATTATCACCCTTTTATGTTATGACCAGATGCTCTAAATTTTCACAACCAGCTATTTTGAGTGATTTCAACCGCACCAGACTCCAAACATATGACAAAGTGAAGACATAAGTTAGGGTTTTGCATTCTCTCACTTCAACATCTGTGAGACTTGGGAGGTTTACATGATAAGAGGGCCCATTCCATATACACCTCAGGTGTGGTAATCTTTCAATGCTTAACTTTGCCAAATTTGGGAGCACAATAACTGCATGATGAGATTCTGATAATATTTCCTCCTCCTTGTCATCATCACCCTCTTTCATTAACAAATGCTTCAAACGCTCGCAACCACTAACTTTGAGTGATTTCAGTTGGACCAAACTCTGAGCAACTGACAAAGTGAAGAGATAAATCAAACTTTTGCACTCTCTCACTATAACAATTGTAAGACTTTTTAAGTTTACAATATGGGTTGGCCCTTTCCATATACATCTCAGTTGTGGTAAGTTTGCCAAGTCTAACTTTGCTAAACTTGAAAGCATTGCAAGATTTTCTTCCCTTCTATGACAGAACCTATCAAGTTGAAATATTTCTTCCAGCTTGTTGCAAGATTGGATTGTCACTTCTTTCACTTTATATAGTCTCTGTAGCATTATTGCTAGAAATAAGCTACATATACCAGGGCATTCTTCTACATGTATGGTTTCCAAATTTTCAAGAGAACCACTCTGAAGCTTTTCATATGGACCGCAACATATTTCTCTAAGAAGATTTAACCTTCTAAGAGATAATTTCACCAAATTAGAGAAGGTAGGGGCTAGAACACGCATCTTTGTTGTATCCATGATGCACTTCACATCCTTACAATCTTCAAGCACAAGAGAAATCAACTTATTTAATCCCTCTTTGTCAATGATTGGGAGGATACTATCACAGCCTATCACTTCTTTCAGACATAGATATTCTAAGGTATGATACAAAGATTTTAATGAAATCAGTGAGGCTGCTTCAATATCTTTCACTGTTAAAGCTCATTTTCTTGATTCTAATGTAGAAAACTCTGAATCAGTGTTCACACTAATGTCATATCTTACCAATTTGTTGAAAATAAAAACCAAGTCTCTCGAAAGACATTTAGCATTTATTTTCAAAAATAGTACAATCAAATTGGATAGAGAATTCAACTCAGAAGGACTAGCATTGCTGCCTTCTACACTCGTCTCTTCTTCTTCCCATTTGTCAAAGGAGTGACCCACATATAATTCTTCTAGCTGAGAAAATCTCTTTATCACATTGGAAGAAATTCTCTTTACGTGACGACAGTTACTTAAATCAAGCAATCTTAATTCAGTGAGTGCCCCAAGTTCTTTTGGAAATTCGTCAAACAGTGAACCTCTTAAACTAAGAATTTCAAATCTGGCAAGATGTTCGAGGGAAGAGATGTCTCTCAAATTGCAAACAATCAGCTCTAGAGTTTTGAGATCTGTCAAGAACTTAAGTGATTTTAATGACAGGTTCACATAACTTAGACTTACATTTTTTAGTACTTTCATCTCTTCAAAAAAATGGTTTGAAACTTCAATGTTGCGGCGTCGCTCATAATACTTTTGACGAGACAATGACAAAGTTTCGAGCTTTGGACACACCAATTGATCAGGAAGCATGCTTATTTTGTTGTCCATTAAGGAGATTGCAGTATATTGTCCAAGGTGCCTTCCCTCCTTTGGCCACTCTGTCAATCCCAAGCCAGCTTTAACAAGAAATACATTATCTCCTCTGGATGCTATTCCCAAGGCAACATCACGAACCACATCATGCATTTTTACAAATCCCTCTTCACTAGCATCTGTTAACAACCAAGAAGCTTTGAGCTTATTAACCATTACTCGCAGTTGACTCCTCGCTTGTTCAATTGAGTCTACATCTGGAAAAAAACCTAGCCCCATTCCATATCTAACCAATTCTTCCAAAGGAATTTTATAATCTTCAAGAAATAACGAACACAACAAAAAACATAACTTGGTTTTTTTACCCTCCAAATAATCATAGCTGATCTTGAGAATAGCATACACATCCTCATCAACATCAATGTCCTTACGTATATCCACAAGTTTTGACTTTTTTAACTTCTCAAACACAAGTGTCCATTCATCAATGCCCTTTTCTTTTAAAGCACTCCCCATAGTTACAATTGCTAATGGCAATCCCTTGCATTCTTTAGCAACTTTGACCGCTAGATCATTCAATGGATGGGATTCATCATCAAGTATACCTGCATGCTTTTTAAGTAAAATCAATCCTTCATCTTCATTTAGTTCATTCAGAAGAATTCCTGCCTGACACCTCATACCAATACATACGTTTTGTCTGCGAGTTGTTAGAAGGATTTTGCAACCTTTGAGATCATCGCCAAAAGGAATTCCTATCTTAGATTTCAAGTCAAATTTTTTCCAAACATCATCTAAGATTATGAGGATCTTCTTTTTAGTCTCCACAAATCTCAAATGCAAACGCTTTGCTCTTCCTTCTTCGCCTTCCTCCTCCAATTTCATACCTAATGAGTCTGCAACGTCACCTTGAATATTTTTGAAGTTTGGAGCTTGGGATACAACAATGACCACAATCTCATAAAAAATTTCCGCTTCTTTGACTTTCTTACCCTCTGCTTTTGCTAAGGTTGTCTTACCCGCTCCACCCATGCCATACAAGCCAACCATATGAGTTTTATCATTTTTTAGTGCCTCAATAATCTGATGAAAAACAAGTTCCACAAACTTGAAGAGATGAAAATCTTTAGGAGATGAAAATTCTATCCCTGGTAATGTGGCAAGATGAGAAACTTTGTCGAATTTGCCACTTTCCCGTTTATTGAACATAATATGTCTCTTATGTTCTGCTTTCCTACTCAACCGATATCACAAACCCCAATTAAGACACCTCCCACCATGACTTTTTTTATTTCCTTCTATTTCTTCTTTTAACTTCTGAACATCTTTTACGACTTCGTCCACATCTTTTAACCACTTTTGCACCTCTTTCTCAATCACCTCAGTATTTCTTGTCGCATTTTCAACATCTTGTTGCACACGGTCACGTGTGAATTCCAAATTTTGATATTCTTCTATAAAATCTTTGACAATGCTCTTGAAACAAAATAAATAACGAACATGACATTTGGTTAACTCCAACAAGTTTTCATCGACCTTTGATAAAATAGGTTCCGCAATAGGTGTTACTATTTCCATCCTGTATGTTATCAGAAATTGATTATTAGTATGATATCAAACAAAGAAAAACTAATGAAAATGGGTGAATGAGAAATTTCAACACCTTTCTCTTTAGGTAATTGTGAAATGACAAACTTTGAATAAAAACCAATGAAGCACAAGCATATGCAAGAAGTAAAGAAAGGAAACAAGAACAGAATAAGTTATAGACAAATTAATTATAAAACAAGAAAACTATAAAGCATCCTCATATATTGAGGGTTTTGATAAACCCTACAACATTTAAGCTGTATTAATCTGTTTCCTTAAAAACATTAGTAAACCAATTTCTTAAGTACCTTTTAGCCAGCCAAGTAAAAGCATTATCAAAGCCTCCAAACAATTCTGGATTGATGTTCATCAACTAGTTTTAATTCATACGTATTTCCATTATTGGGTATAATAATTAGAAACAAGATTCTATTTTTTCACATAAATAAAACAATTTTAAAAATTTGGGTCAATTTCGTGTTAGGACATCATTGACTTTAAGACTTGCTATTAATATTTAGAGTAATGCTACATGTACAAATAAATCTTACAAAGATTTATGTACAAAGTGATGTGGCAAGAAGTGAATGAAAGAGTGAACACAAAAAGTCAAACTCATCATATTGACTCTTCCATTCATTTCTTGCCACATCACTTTATACATAAATCTTTGTAAAAATTTTTTATACATCTAACATTATTGTAATATTTAACCTGTAAACTTAAATGCAGACTCGAATCTGAATAAGATTCTTTATGGGAAGCAATATTATTGTTAAGTGTTATAATTGGGTACAAGACCACTAGTTGTCAGTTTCATGACTATTAGGTTAATATAAGTTATTAAGATATATGTGTCCAATTGTCATAAATATTTTCTTTTAATTAAAATATTTAAAGTGACAACATAGATAGAGATCGATTATGGGTTCAGAAGTTCAAGTTAAGGAGTAATTATTTTGTTACCATGTAAACAAGTATCAACAGATTCAACACTATTTGATTGTAATTAATGTACGATTCACAATTAGCATTAAAATTTAAGTTAAAATATCCTTTCCTTTTAATTTAATCTCATGTGAACATGTGTGAACCTAAAAGAACAAAGGCTGGAAGGTGGTCTTTCGTAAATAAAAGTTGGAAAACCATGTTCACGTTTAATTTGTTTTTGATTGGTCTGCGTTTGAGAATTTTCATATATTTTGGAAATCTTTTCTCTATGAGGGATGTTGATTAAAAAATTAGTTTAGAGAAAATTATTAATCTGATTTCTTTTCAAGAAAAAATTGAAAAAATAACCCAATTATTTTGGTGAACATCGACAAGACTAAAATAGAAAATAAATTGATTTGAGAGATTGTTAAGTCCTTAAAATTAAGGGGTAAAATAAGCAGTTCCCTATAACAAACACACTAATTCTAAAGCAAATCTTACAAATTGATTATAACTAACTTCACCTTTTATACCGACGGATTAAAGATATAATAATAAATAATTGGGAATTTAGGTAAGTAACATTTAGTCACAATATTTGCAACAATAGTGCCAGTGACAATTGCTATCTTTTGACTTAAAAATTTGGTTTAATTTTTACAACTCCTTGTAAGAACGATTAATGTGAAACGCACCCAATTAATAGAAAGTATTATATGGCCCCCTAGAATTATTAAAAATCCCTCCATGAAAGGGATGATAATTTTCCCCAAAAGGATGAGTCCCCGCTCGTTCCCGCCCTGTTCAGGAAGGCCATTTAAGCTAAAATTTTGGGGACAAGACGGGGATGGGATGAAAACCCATACCCTAAATAAAAAATAAAATACTATTTTTCTTCACAATTTGAGGATTGGGTCCATATGGGTGCCTGATCCCCATTTGGGGAACGGGGATGGGGATGCTATTTTATTTTAGGGATGGCATGGGGATGGTGATCCTTATCCCAACCTGCCCTGTTTGCCATCCCTATCCACGATATTATAAAATCCCCTTGTAAAAGTACCATAAACCCGTATTATAAAAGTATGATAGGAGGGTATTTGATAGTTTATAATAACCATGCAAAAATTTAATATTTATCGATCCCACAAAGGGTTATATAAAGTAAGTCCTAAATATTTCAAACAAATTTTAACAATTCCTTCCAATTAACTCAGCAATTAAGATATAAAGTCAAGAGTTAACATTTTATGTAGTAAACTGATATACACCTTCGGACTGAAAAAGATATAACATTAAAAGCTTTGCATCAATGTTAAGAATAATGTAGAGTAATGTTTGAAAAGATATTATATTATGGCATTAAAATATCATAAGATAGTTTAATATGTGAAGCAGTACCTTGAGGAGACAAATTTGACGTCAGAAGTATTATCTTGAAGAAGCAAGAGTTTTGACTTGAAAAGTGATGAACTACCTTAGATGATCTGAATAATAAAAGAAGAGTTAGATTTTGTATTGACAGAGATGCCCAAAAAAATATTAATTATAAAGTTGTTTACAAAAGAGGATAAAAAAAAGTGCACTTTGATACCTATATTCTCAGCATACCCACCATTAAAATTTTTAAATTTTTTATTTTTAATCCAAAAATCCTAATAATTTTAATCAAATCACTATAGTAACACTTAATTAAAAGTAATGCTTAATTGAATGTGCAATATTTAGTGGCAGAACCAAGATTTTGACTTATTAAGTCCAAAAAATATTTTTAAGAAAGAACAATATATAGAAATGATATTCTTATGAATTCATCAATTTAAGAGTCCAAATACTGTTTAGATTTCACAAATAAGAGAGAACATAAATATAAGATTACAGCTATAACAATAAAATTCTAACGAATGATATATGTAAATAATATGATATTTTTAAAAATTCAAATTTTGTCACTTTTTTTTATACATTTATTAGTAAGATTGCAAAATGAATTATTTAAGATTATAATTAATATATAAGTCTTATAGATTAAAGAGAAAACATTTAAAAAAATAATAATAATAATAATAAGGTGTTCGTAATAACTAATTTAAGAAGAAAGAAATAATAATTATGGTAATAACATTAGATTTAACATATTGTAAATAATTAAAAGATTGCGAGAGAATTTGGAGGATAAAATGGTAAGCGAAAGTGATAAGAATATATAGTAAATCTGAAGAAAAATACAATAATAAATACTCATTAGGTTAAAAAAAATCTTATCATTCTCTATCATAAATAACATTTTATAAAACCAAATTAATTTTTTTTCAAGCTTTTGGGTAAATAAAATAACTAGTAAGTAGACAATATTCATATAAGATGTGATCAAAATTTTGTATTTATTATTATATATTTGTTAAGTAATGGGTCTCATTTTCTATAGAAATATCGGACAAAATGACCTGATAGAAGAATTGATGACTAGAATTTATACCTAAAGCAAATGAAATAGAAAAGAAAAGAAAAAATGTTGCTTACTTTCTTGAGTAAAGAGATGGCTTCAATAACTTCTTAGAACTTCACTCGTTGATATCGCCACAGAATTCTCAAACACGCTGCAAATGATAGACAACAAACTAGCTAATCAAAACTTATGAATAAAGAATCTCAATCGACTATTGGGGCGTTTACCACACGCAAGTGTTTATAGATCTTATCTCATCCTTAATCTTTTAATTTTCCTTTCCTTTCTTAGAAATGTAAATTAAAATATTTGAAAGTGGAAGAATTAACATATCTAGTCTAGCACAAATCAAAGACAAAGAGTAACAAAAGTAAATAAAAAATTTCATAAATCTTAAGAAATCATACCTAAATGGAAGGTTGTAACCTAGAAAAAGGCACCTTACCTGCTATGAGCATGGAGAAGAGTGAACATACACATTAATGACACGTAGAAACATTTAATGAAATATTATAATAAATTATGTGTATATGTCAATGGTACAATAGGGATTATAATAAATTATTTGTATTTATATGTCAATGGTACAATAGGGATAAAAAATTGTATCTATAAAGACCATCACTAATCCTTCCAAAATAGGATGAATATGCTATATATACTCACCTCAGCAGTAGATACCGATGTTCATAGATTTGCAAAATCCCTATCACTTACAAGCTTGAGAATGAGAGGGCACAATTTGCAAAGCCTAGCTTCATAACCAAGTAAAAACACACATTTTAGTCCAAGCTCTGATAGATCAACGTTACAAATTCTTATCCTTTAATCAATTTGTATATTGGAATCAGGACAACTAGAACATTGTAATTGTGGCATGTCCTTGATCTTTAAAAGTTTTAATTTAATTTCTTGGGTGCACTCGCTTCAATTATTGGTTCAGAGGTGGGTTTAAAGCCATGGCCCTGTTTTTTAAGCAATCTTTTACAAATCTACTTCAATTTTATATGAATGCTACACATGTTGAGATAATATTTCTAATCACTGAGTAATATACAGCTGCTAATCAATTATTATTGAGATATAATGGAAAAACATGAAAGTTAATTTTCATACCTTGTGTGTAAGCAGAATACATCCAGTCTGAAACCTGCCGACGAGAACTTTACTTCAATAGCCCTTACACATATATAATATCAAGTGAAATATAACTCACACACAATGTTAGAGCCAAAACTAACAACACCCAACTGATTTACTTTTCCCTACCTTCAATTCCATTAGATTGCCTAGTAAACGAAATTACTGAAATTATTGAAAGAAATCGAAAATCGATAAAAATGTGAAGTTGATAAGTGTAAAATCAGAAAGATAAACATTAGCAAAAGTAAGTATTTTAATGAAAATCAATTTTCCAGATAATGTTCAAAGATTATCAAGTAATCATATTGAAACATGAAAATTGTATCCTCGAAATTCACTTGACCTTATAACTTCAAATCTTTAGATATTTGCAAAATCTCTTCACCTTCTTTGTAAATAACAACAAATGAAACAGCTAAAAACAAGTCTTAGCTAAAAGCAGAAGATAATCATGGGCAAAACAAGTAAATTATTATATCAAAGTTTAAAGATCATAGATGATCATACCAAATCAGTTGATCGATCGATGTTTTTCCTGGAAACGAAACTCTCCTTGTAACTTTAGATCTTCACCACTGAATATCTATCACATTAGGTTCATAATAAGTCCAACTTCAGGAGAAAGAGTAAAGTAAAAAGCGTTTTAGTCCAGTCAGCTTGCGGAATACGCGTTGAAGGTTGACGCTGCCTTTCTAAGTGGATTGACGTTGACATCGACCCAACAAGTCTGCAAAGACTTCTGTATTAAATTATCATGTCCGAAGAACCTTTTTTGACCTTTTCTTTTGTTAAATGACTTTAACACCCCTCATGTAAAAACTTATGACCATTTCATCCTTTAGTTTGAGAAACTATCAATTTTTTTTTTTGAGTCTCCATTTACGATTTACCGACTTTGACCACTTATTATATTAATTTAGAGTCAGGCTATTGTAACACAAATTATTGACTTAAAATGAGATACAACCTAACCACTCTTCATCTAAATATAATCTAATGGTTCTTATAAATTTGAGTAAGAAAAGTTTGCACATAACTTACACTCAATTGTTTCACCACTCTTACAAATTGAATGATATTTTCGTAAACAAAGAGAAACCCTTTATCTCTCTCTTCAATCACTGTAACCCATACAAGCAATAGCCATTTGAATTGAACAAAAACACCATGAAAAGCTCTTGATAATGAAAAACCAAAAACAAAAACACAAGCTATAAAAGCAGCCTAAGAAATTCCTCAATCATTAATCTAACTTAAAGAAAACCTAAGTAATTTCTTCCAAATTTCTCATTAAACTTTCATGTTCTATTGAATTGGATGAAGAAAAATTATTCTCTTGAAATATTACATCAATAAACCTAACAATATTATACCACCTAAACACTTTCCCCACTCCAGTTCGCCGATTTCTAGCCGATCAACATCATTTGCACAACCCACCTTGCAATCGCGCGACTATCATCGTGCACAATCACCGACGCAACACCACCTTCAACCTTCCTTTTCACCTTGTCCCTTCACAGCTTCGAACGTTGTCCTCCTTGACCCACCTACACTAGTTATAATTAGCCACCGATTCTTTAACCAGACGGTTAACCAATGGTTCGAAACTATTCTGCCAATTCAACCGTAGGTAAATCTAGGCTAATGGTCAAAACCGAGTTTAAGGTGTCTTGGGATCAAAGAAGGGTCTAGTCGACAGTTGGACTAGTCAAACCGACTGGTCCGGTCTAGTCGGTTTTAAAACACTGGATTTCACAATTGATATACAATTATATCTTTCACTTCTAAATGGGGACATAGCCAGAAATTTTAGTGAGTGGGTTAAAAACATCTAAATGGATAAATTTATAATAAAATATATATTAAAGTCACAAATCTTATAACTTAAGCTTTTCAACGTCTAGGAATTTAATCCTCCAATTTCAAACCCATTTTATCAAACTCAACAAAAACATATTCATGATCTTAAAAAAAAAAAAAAAAAAAAAAAAAAAAAAAAAAAAAAAAAAAAAATCTTATAACTTAGCTTTTATAAAAAAAATTCTACAAACCTAATAAAATTCAACTCATACAGCAATGAAAACTCATTCAATCTAACTCTAAATATCAAGCAATTAACCAATATATCAAAATTAAATCAAATTCTCAAATCTCTGCAACTTAAAGTTTCATCAATTATTTAAACCCATTCAAAATTAATTTAATAACTAACCAAAACTTATCAAACCCAATTTAAAACAACAATTAATTAACCCACATTTCAACATAAACAAGATTAAATCGAAACTCACATCAAAATAAAGGAATGTAATCTTCCAATTTCAATCCTATTTATTAAAGTCAACAAAAATTCATAGCTCGTGATCTTTCTTCAATTAAAAAAAAAAAAAAACAAGGTTTTAAAGCAAAGTAAAAGAAAAATGAGTATCATTTGATCTTGTAACCTTTAATAGAATAGTTTTTTTTGAGTAATCCAATCAAAGGAAGAAGAATGTATGAGAGAGAAAGAGAGGAAATGAAAAAGAGAGAAGAGGTAAAAAAAAAAAAAAAAAAACTTTAATTAATTCAAATTTCTCTGGGGTCAAAATAAATTCTATAATATATAAGGATTGTCTTGATTTTTCCAAAAGTTGAGTAGGGTCAATTATTGAACCCACAATTGTGTACATGGCAACGTGCCTGCTTCTAAAGAAGCCATTCATGAGCTTTTAACTTCTTTTTACTTTTGCAATTGCAGGTACTTTCTTTTTTGTCTTTTGCATTAATTATAAAAAATGCATGTTCCATCACAACAATAACATTGGCAAATGAATTATTAATATGACATATATCTAGAGCATAAAAAGTTAGCCTTAATACTTCTTGTGTAGGACAATATATCGAAGATCACTACTGAGATCTTTAGTTGACTACCTGAGAGAGATTATTTAAAGTGAAATTGAAATACACGTAGAGAACGTTTGGATCATATAATATTTTTTTATTTTAGTTATAAGATTATCGAAAAGAAAAATTATATTATAGATTATCGGGTTTAAATTATTATTGTGCTTGATTCAATTAGGATGTATTAATAATTAATGTGTTTGGTTAACAATAATAATAGATGTCCTGAAATACTCTTTTACTAGAATACCCTAGGAATGATTACTTGTATTACTAATTAATCAGTTTGGTTGGCTGTAAGAACAGATGTCTTGATTACATTTTACTAAAATGCCATTTTGATGATTACTGGGTATAAATAATTAATGTATTTGGTTAATAAAAGAAATGATCAATTAACAAAATTCTTTTTCTTATATTTTAGCCAATTATTTTATTGTTAAATCATTGTCGGGAGCAAACTGATGGAGACGAAGACCCGAGGTTGTTGCAGCAGAGATGGTCGACCAACGACAAAGGGAAGAGAGAGAAGTTAGACTAACGAACACAAACAAAACAGAAAACGAAAAATACAATGGAAAGAGGGCGAGGGACTTACCGAAAATGGCGAATGGAGTGTTGTCTGGATCAAACAGATGGAGACGAAGACCCAAGGCGCTGCAGCAAGATGGTTGACCAACGATAGAGGCAAGAGTGAGATCTTAGACTAACGAACACAAAACAAACCCAAAATGAAAAATACAATGGAAATAGGGCATTTGACTTACCCAAAAATGGCGATCAGAGAGATGAAATCGTGAACGAGAGCAAGAAGAAGAAGACCAGCAGCGGCGATAGAGGTTTAGGGCAGAGTCTCAGTAATTTTTTTCTTTTTATATTGTAGTTTTAGTGAAATAAAAGGGCATATTGGTCACAATATGCAAATATGTGAGGATAATATGGGCACACCAATATTTCGTGGCATCTCTGAAAATATTGATAATAAGCAGGGCAATTTTGTCCGAAAAATTAAAAAATTGAGGACAAATTCGTCTTCTTGTGCAAATTGGGTGTTTTGTAATTATTAAAAAAGCCAAGGATATTTTCGTCCACATTGTCCACTGTTTTGGAGCAAGATTGGACAGAAATTTGGATTTTTGGAGTAATATTTCAATAACACCCTCCCCCCAGGTAGGTGTGTATACGAGCCGAGTAGTGGCTGGCTCAAGCTCTGCTCGGTTAATTAATTGTATGGTTCGAGCTTAGCTCGGCTCGGCTCATCAAGTTTCGAGCCGAGCTGAGCTGAGCTCGAGCCAAGCTCGTTTGCAAACTTTTGTCTGTAATTCAAAAGCAGCTAAAGTTGCAGTTAAAGCATTTGAATAGGTTAGAGATTTATTTCACAGCGTGTTGTAATGGGAAATTAAGAGTAGTTTTCACGGCATTAAAATTTATTTTGGCAAAGCAATAACCAGGTCCTTGTTGAGTTTCACTCTGTAGAATACAAAGAATGAACTCATAATCAAAATAATGTTGTAATTCCAAAAGTGTCTGTGAGTATTATTTTGCTATAAAATACCACATAGTTTTGCAACTTAATATAAAATCATGCTACATATCTATTAAAATAGCTGAAGCTAATCTTGAGACAATATAACTTGGCAAATTTTCCTCGATGGTGCATTAGTGCTGATCAACCTAAATTAGAAATATAAATTGCTGAAACTTTGTCTAGCATATTTCATTATTTATTAAGTCAATAGAAAGTGAGAACAGTTCGGTCATTTGTTATAGATATAATTTATATGCTTGTCAATATCTGTGTGTCTCGATCTTAATCAAGCTTAAACCACTCAACTAGCAGTTCTGAAGTAAAAGTAAAAGAACCACAATCAGTTTCAGACTGTAAAAAACTAGACAAAATTCCATCTTCCTTCTGGTGTTATGCCTTTAAGCTAGGCAAGTTGAACCTTAAAATATAACCCATATGGTGGAATTCAAAGTTGACCACAGGGTAAGCATATTAAATTTTTATGTTTGCTCTGATTTTCCCTTGTGATGAGGTTGATCCAATTATCAAATAACCAGAAACTTTAGACAAAATACCTAACGAGAAACAAATTTTTCAGACCATCTTCCTTCATCAACACCCTTTTCCAACATCCTGTGCACATGTAAAACATCCCAAATCATTGAAATTTGGAGGTAGAGATTGGAGAACCAAATCTTTCTTGAGGGTATCCGGCATTACAATTCTCATGGCATGTAATTGCCCCAGAATGTTAATCATTTTCATGACATGTTCTTNATTCAGTACAAAGAAGAGTGATTTACGTGGGCTCACGGACACTTGTAAATCACTGTAAATGACACATAGAAACATTTAATAAAATATTCAACATACAATTCTCAGTAATAATGAAAGAATAATATGTATATATTCTTCTATAGTAAATTATGTGTATTTATATGTCAATGGTACAATTGGGATCAAACTTGTATTTATAAAGACCATCACTAATCCTTCCAAAATAGGATGAATATGCTTTATATCTTGAAAACTCACCTCAACAGTAGATACCGATGTTCATATATTTGCAAAATCCCTATCACTTTCAAGCTCGAGAATGTAGGTCACAATTTGCAAAGCCTAGCTTCATAACCAAGTAAAAACACACATTTTAGTCCAAGCTCTGATAGATCAACGTTACAAATTCTTATCCCT